GGAGCTGATCGTCTCCTGTTCTCGGCCGCTCTCCAGGGTGTCTCCCCGGCGCCGCCCTGCTGGTGAGGGATGATCAGGCAGGAGTGGGGCGAAAGGGTGAGGAGGGTGGCGTGCCGGGCCGAGTGGTACCAGCACTGGCCCCTGTCCTCGCCGTACAAGCCCAGGCTGTCCAGGCCCTGGCAGCCGTCTACTCTGTGGCGGGTTTTCCCCCGCCAGGGCCTGGCCTTCGCTTTCGCCAAGAGCCGCGCGGAGGTGAGGGGCCGTTTCGTCTGGGGGGGGGAGTCGGAGCGCGATCTGCTGTGAAACAGGGCGTGAAGCTTCCGTGTGCTTCTGCCCCCCGAAGGGTGTCCACGTGTTCGCGCTGGAGAACGGCCCCACCGAGGCCGGGCAGAGGATCTACCTGGTGACCACGTATGCCGAGCTCTGGCACTACTACAGGTGAGTCTCGTGACGGGAGAGGGGGGGGGGGCGTCCGGTCTGGGGAGCCCGCGTAGCTGCTGTGGGATAACTGCTCCAGGCACGGCGGGGAATGAAGCCAGGGTGTCGACTTCATCAGCGCGACGGGCTGGCGTGTTGCCGACTGCCCCATCCCTCTGTGTAAACTGGCGGCTCCTTCCCCGAGTTCTGGATGTCCTTCCGCGTACTTCCCGCTGGTGTCCTGCGCTCTTTGTTTCACTGATGGCGGAGAAGTAGTCGTATAACCAGACGCCTAATTGTACACCTGTGACGATCTGGACCTTGCTCAGATATGAATACAACTTTGAGGGCAATATGATCAAGTCCCGAAAAAACAAAGATGCCTAATTATTATTCCCTTAAAACAGTCATGATGCTGGTAAAAAAATTCTCTACACTGTTTTCAAGAGCAGTCTTTGTTAGCTACATACAGTAGATCGAAGTTCTAATATTTTGTGAAGCGGCTTACTTTTATTTCATGTACTGTATATAGTGTGTGAATATATAGAAATTAAAGGGACTACAACTTATTGTTCAAAAGCTTTCATGTCACATTACACACTCAGAGCTGTTTGCACAAATCGGTCTGCTGCCAGCACAGCGTGTTTTGGTTTTCACCCCAGGACTTACAGGCGGTCTCTAATGCACTGTTATGAGGTCATCCCCGAAGGTGCGGTGTGCAAGCTGTACTTCGATTTGGAGTTCCACAGGCCCTCGAACGAAGGTCGGGATGGAAAACGGATGGTGGCGTTTTTTATTCAGGTATGGAGCCAGCGGTCTTCACGGCGTAGGAGCAGCACAGACGTATTACAGGTCCAGTTCACAAAAGCTTTCTTAATTCAGAGTGTGTGAGCGAACGTTACAGCGTTTCATTATCCTCTTTATTTTTCTAACCGAGGAGAGAAGGGTCTGGAACCCTTGCGCTGAGCTGCGCAGAGTCACTTCACTAGGGCTGTAGTGTATGCAAATGGTGTGGAAAGACAGGAAGACAGGGTAATAAGATGCCCACGGTACTCTGGCAGCTATGAGGAGTGCCTGATTTTCATGCATGTTTGTGAAGTCAAAAAGCCCCATGGAGATGAAGTCCTTGCAGGAAGCTGCAGCAGCAGTGGCAAGAGAAGACACCCCAGGGCTTTGGCTGCGGGCTCCCGGACCCTGGATGTGAGCATGTCCCAGACAAGACCTTCTTTGCACTGATTTTAAACTGATCTGTGGTTTATCTTGTGTCCTAGTATGTATGTCTGAAATTGGAAGAGGAATATGGAATTAAAATCTCCAAGGATGATGTTCTGAATTTGGATTCCAGCACAGAAGAAAAGTTCAGTCGACATCTAATATTCCTTGTTCCGAATGCAGCTTTTAAAGACAATATACACGTTGGTATGTATTTAGATAATTTCTGGTGATTTGTTTGTATTGCAGCCTCAGATAATTAATGACCAAATACCCTGTTAACTTGGCTTATAATTCTGTGAAAATGTAATGCAAAATCGCCTCAAGTTTTGGGTCACACCTGTAAAGAATTGTAGCGCTGTGTGAACTTCTAAAAAAACAAGACAAGCCCAGCTTACACCATTATTCTGCTAATTCTCTGGTGTCGTGTGTCTGCCTGTCTCATTAGGTCTTTACATCACTTAACTCCTTTTTTTTTTTTTTTTTTTTAGTTTTTGAATTATAAAGCAGTGTGACGTTTCTCGGTGTGATATTACGTTCTTACTGGTCTCATTTTCCACTTGAAGGCCATTTTGTCCACAAGGTGTTAAAGCCAGCGCTGGAGGAGCTGAGAAGGAGAAGACACCGTCTGGTGACAGAAACCCACCTGGAGAGCAATGGACAGCCTGCAAGCAGCCAATCCCCTCTTCCGTCTTTTGGACCTGGGCAGGAACCGGAGGCTGAGAGGCTGAGGAATCCATATCCCAAAAGACAGAGAACCGGGGAGGGTCCAACCTCCCCATCTCCTCAGGCTGGGGGCCTGCTGTTTCTCTTCGTGAAAGACAGAGATGGACAGGATCAGCTCTTTGTTGATGTCGGTATGAATAACATTGTTCGGCTTCCGTTTGCAAACACAGACGGCTTTTTCTGGGTCTTACACGCGGCGCTCTGAAGTATCTATCAGTTTACAGACTGTGACTGCCTTATGAATTGCATACCCCTCACTTTGAAGAGTTACTCATCTATTGCTGTCCTCCTTCCCTGTTAGGAGTGTACACAAAGAACAGAAATTTCCGCCTGTACAAATCTTCCAAAGCTGGGAAGAACGTTGCCTTCAGTGTAGCGGAGGACAACACATTTGTCCCCAGGCCTCAGAAGCACCTGTCTCACGAAGAACAAATATTTCTCGCCTCCCTCGTCAGCAATGTTCGGTACTGCTCTTCGTAATTCTTTGGTGAAATCAAAGACACTTGCATCCAGTTGGGTTACAAATGAGAGGAAGTCATTTATCCCATTCAGTCCCAGTCAGGCAGTGGTTTCTAGTAGCTTACTGATCCAAGGATCTCCTTCGGCTGCTTTCTTGAAAGTTCCCAGGGAATCGGCTTTAATCCTGGCTGTTCAGTCAGAAATCATTAGGGATTTCTGACCATTCTTTTTAAGTGTGCCACAAGATTTTGTGTGTCACAGAGTGAAAGGATATGTTTTGTTTGTAAAGTTTTTTGAAAAGCGTACCAAATAGTTTGTAGGCAACTCTAATCCCAGTGTCATTCAAAATGTGATGTCAGGTTTCACAATGGTGTAGCTACTGGCCAGGCTAAAAGAATAAACTAGTTCTTTCAGAAGTCTGCTTACATATATGAAATATATGAAAATGACTTTAAAGTAGAAAACAATAAAAGGTTCAGTCTGATTTTATTGGAAGATGGGATATACAGTATTAGTATGTAACTTTATTTTATTGTCTCTACACTAGGTTCTCAGATGGTCTGATTATTCTAACTTGTGATGTTCCCGAGGCTACAAAAACAAAGTGCATTCAGACAGCAGTTCCCAAATCAGGTAATGTGTCTTAGTCTGGAGGACTTGAAATTAATGTTTAGAAATGGAAATGTGATGGGATTATTTATATTTTCATTTAACCATGTAACGTACTAATGTAGGTACAAAATGGTACCAAAGTCATTGTCTAAAGATGTTTTTAAAACTGTAAACATACAGAAATTTAGTGTTTTCATTTATTTGAACTTGAATTCTTTCTTATCTGAATTATTTCTTTTAATTTGTTTGTAGGGTCTGTTGGTGGATGTCAGTATTCTCCTTACATAGAAGTGGACAACTTTGTGCTCTCTCTGGTGAACAAAGATGGCATTGAAGGCAGTAAGGCCTCTTTATCCTTTAAACACTCACACTGCAATGGGTGTAAGGAGATCAAGACCTGAGATAGTGTTGTCTTGTTTTTGCTCCTGAACAGCCATACGGCAGTGGAATTACTTTTCCTCTGAGGAACTTCTGGTTTATGACATCTCCAAGTATCGCTGGTGCCAAAATGTAGGCAGGTTCCATAAAAGCAACAATATCATGTAAGTGGTACCTCTGTTGTTTTTCTTCAACCATTTACATTTCTGTTTCTGAAGGGGTCTGTAGCACACTTCTGCATGTAATATACAGAAAGGGGAGGCCATTCACCCTGCTGTGCTCCACTGAGTTCCATGTCTCTGTATCCTGTAGTTAATACTGGCTGTACTGTGAGCATGGAAGCATTCTACCCCTCTAAACCAGAAAGGAACAACTTTCAAATTTGACTAAAAACCTTTAGGAAATGGAAAACATCCACAATGCAACAGTCTGTGCCGCAGGGAGACTTCTGAGCGATACAGCCTCTGGCTTCAGAAGGACTTGACAAAAATCACCCCCCCCACCATGCATATTTACATCAGACGCCAACACGCACGCTTATGAAGAAACTACTGCAAGCGCCCGTGTGTAGCTTTGAATCGGAAATGAAAAAACACCGCCCGGATATCGGGTTTCACTGCTCGTCTCTGAAGAGGGTTTCACTGGATGGCGGATCAGAGAGGCCGCGGCCGGTTTGGAGAGGAAACCGTTCCGAAGGATGTTGTGCGTCTTTAGGTTAATGCATCCAAATCTGGTCTCCCTTCCAGGATCCTGGTGGATCTGAAGGAGGAGGTCTGGTATCAGAAGTGCCACGACCCCGTGTGCAGGAGTGAGAATTACAGATCTCCAAGTAGGTTCCCACGAGCAGAGGCTCCTCTACGGCCCCCGCGCTGTCTGTTCCAGACGTGATTTTTATTGCTGTCTCTCCCACAGGTTTGCCCTTGCCCCGTGAGGTGTGTCTCAGCTACCTCGTGAAGGAGGTCAGTAAATGGTGAAAACGTTCTCCCTTCCCGCTTGCACTGTTAATGATTGCTCTCGTGTTGAATTCGACCTCGCCGGCGTTGTTCACTTTGGCATGAAGTGAGTGCCTGCTCATTATCCCACTCTTAGTTTTTGGCCTCGCATAGTGTCCGCGCATAATAAACGTGTCCTGAGTGTTTACATTTTCATTGGCACAGTGTGCGCCATGATGGCGGCTGATAAGATGGCAGTGTTGGGCTGCTGTGATTTTTACAGTTGGTGTAATAGTGGAATACTTTCCTTGCCTGAAGAGGCGCAGACAGGATGAAGTTAGGTTATTTAACCTCTCATTAATTTAGCTGAATTGGAAATTCCAGCTCGATTTCCAGAACAGTTTACATTTTTATTTCCTTTAAAAGACACCTTGTAATCCAGAGTGCTTAGCGGGTGTGGTGGCAACTCCCTTTAGCCCAGAATCTCCAAATCAACGCTTCAGTAGGAGACTGGGGTCGCTGTCTGGGGTCTTTCTTCAGGTGAGACATTAAACTGAGGTCCTGACTGTTTGATGATCTCTGCTGTTCATAAGAGTAGGGTCTAACTGCAGCGTTGTGGTTTCATTCCACTTTGCGTTTGTCTGATCTAGTCTACTTGCGGTGCCCTCTTTATTCAGTTGGTAAAGTCATCATAAATTCCTAATACAAGTAATTGTATATGGCCAATGAAGTGATTTTCTCTTATTTCTCACTTCGCCTGAGCAGCTGTGTGGTAGGGCTGCTGTATGCCATCCAGATGGGTGCTGTACTTCAGTGGTGGATATACTCCTCCCAGAAAAGTACCATATAAATGAAGAAATGAACCACTAATACTGCAAATAAGCTTCATATAATGTTCTGGGTTGGACATTTTGCATTCTTATCCAGAAAACAAGGAGGGGAAATGGCATAAGAGCGCAAGTTAATTCAGGGGAACTGCTTTGTATTAAATCCTCAATTCAGGTTTGAAAGAAGGAGTATTGGGGAAGCGAAAACTGCAGTGTGTGTGATCTGTCAGGATCGCTGTGGCGGAGTAGCTCACAAAGTTACATGCACTCTTTCGTCATTATTACCACGCCTGTTTCAGAATACAGTTTCGCAGAAGCGTAGTTCAGGCTGTGTGAAGGGGGTCTTACGCGGCAACCTTAAAACATTCATCTAGGCTACGTGATGCATAAACAAAACAGTGGTGCGTATTGTTACAACAGAATAATAGTTACCCAAGTCATCTGGGCTCCAGCAGTTGTAACATGAGCTCAGAAGTATGAGCTCAGGTTAGAGCTGGGGTTTGGGTTATTTCTCACACTTGAGAAAACGATCATTTCAGGAACGTCACCTGAGCATGTGCATCGGATCCTAGGCCACCATATGTGACTGTTTCTGGTAACGCCACTCTCCAAGTCTCTCCAGAGCCTTCTCACTCCCCATGCTAGCGGACTAATCTTTCAGGGGAGTGGGGTTGTGGATGTTTTGTGGGAGCGGATCAAAGCAAAGTGACAGAATGGATGGAGTGCTGGCTAGCTCATGCTCTTCAGCTTGTATAAGTAAGTGACCCCTTTCTTTGTTTTTCCCAAGGATGAAAATGATTTTGCGTTCACGATGGACGAAGCTGGGAACATCGTGCCAAGCCAGGGGCGTCACGCCGCCGAGGCAGGCGGCCCGTGTGCGTCGGTGGAGCCCACGGGCCGGGCCGCAGGCTGGGAGCCCGGCCCCAACGACCAGGCTTGCCTGCAGGCGCTGGAGGAGGTGGAGCGGAGGGCCTTCCTGCCCGGCGAGCCGCTCCGCCCCGGAGCAACACAAGCCGACGAAATCCCAGACAAACTTTTACTGGACACCCTCATTGAATACGAGTCTCAGGCTCGGTGAAATTAGTATGTGTTATAGGATGGGTGCGCACATGCTTGGAGAAAGGAGCCTCCTTCACTTTGGTCATACCTTTTGACCATGTAAAAGATATGGCACCTGCCTTTATCTAGGAGCACCTTGTTAATAATTACTGATTCCAGTGCTGTTCCCCAGGCACCTCACCTTGAACAGAGGAAGTGTATCACCAAGGAGAGGACACAAACACCTGTATAGCCTTTGGAATCTGTTATCTCATCCTTCCACCTGATTATCACACTGTAACAACTGGACTACACGCTCAATCTGAAAGAAAATGGCACTCCTTAATCAGGCTAAAATGAATGAATAACAGATTTCACCCCTTTCTTTAAACCATTACAGAAACTTTATTAAATTAACTACATGGCGATACAAGGTTGAAGAGGTTATGGTGGGTTTTATTCAATTCTGTTCCTGTATAGTTGCAACATTTTACTGCTGAATGTGATACTGCAAAGGTCACTTCTGTTTCATCTGTTAAAATTTCACATTGGATGATGATTTTGCACCATTTTTATTTATATCCCCTCCTGCTATTTACTGGGATGTTCAGTTTTAAATCTAAGTTCATATCTAAATTTAAACATTTATTCATAATTTATTTGTAAGACCGCTTGCTCGCTGTCACATTAAGATTAATAGGTGTCTCAATAAAAGCCAACATTGTAACCTTTTGCTGTCAGTATCCCACCCTGAATCCCTCTAAAAGCACAAGACCGCATCAGTCATCAGTCCAGCTATAGAAACTCATTTTACACGAGCCCAAAACAAAACAGAAAACCGTGTGAATCAACATATGAAAAAAAAAGTCACTATCTGCAGTAGAGATGCATCCAAGTGTATGGCTTTCATGATTTCTTGCTCAGTTGCTCGAGGGAGTCCTGCAGTTGCGTATTGATTTTTAGCAGCTGGTGCTCGACTCCCAACACGCTCCGCATTTCCAGGAGTAAAGAGGGGAGGCTGGAGGGGCCGTACTGTGAAACAGAAAAGGCCCAGTGAGAAGAACTCAAGAGCAAGCTTAAGGGTGATCAATGCATTTCTGATACGGCTTAAGTTTGTACAATGTGTCCTACCAGCTGTGCATATTTGGACCCAGGGCCCCAGCACTGTGAGGCACAAATGCTCATCACTGTGCCCCCCCCAGAGCAGTGTAAATTCATGCCAGATTAGCTCTTGTCGCGAACGGCGAGTCTCTTGGCAAGCGCCCCTCCAGCCCAGCCGCTCACCTCCTCTCTCTCGGCAGGATGAGCCTGCCTGTGCCGCAGGTAGGCCCGCTGCAGGGCCTTCAGAGACCCGAGCAGCGCTGTGCCCTGCTCCAGGCTGGCCCGTTTCTCGCTCAGCTGGGCGTGTTCCTTCTGCAATTCGCGCAGCTCAGTTTGTCTCCTGCAGGAGCAGGCAAAGGCATCCATATAATTAAAGGAACAAGTAATAGGTTTATTCCATGCTGAAAAAAAGAAGAAAGAGAACACGTTTCGGCCGTGGAGCCTTCTTCAGGTGTGAGGGACCTGAAGAAGGCTCACACCTGAAGAAGGCTCCTGACACCTGAAGAAGGCTCCACGGCCGAAACGTTGTGTTCTCTTTCTTCTTTTTTTCAGCATGGAATAAACCTATTACTTGTTCCTTTGCAGCCTACGCATGCTGACGCAGCTACCCACATGAACATATAATTAAAGTCTGATGTACTATAAGAAATAATTACAGCCAGATACTTAACTGCTAAGTACTACTACTTGAATGCTTTAAATAAAAGTCCCTGCTCCTGGAAACTCAGAGTATATAGTTGATCCATCCTTGTATTTTATTTCATACAAACTTTAGAGGAATTAAACGGAGAAATTTGAGATCTTGATACAAATTAAGATGGGCTTAGTTTTCCCCAAGTTCTTCATTTCTTTCACAGAACAGGAATTTTGCTTTCGGAAATCTGCGGGAAACTGGAATAATGCCGAGTCTCGTACACACGGCAACTCGTGGCAAAACCAACACTGGTGCGCAAACTCTACTTACTTCCTTAGTTCGTGTTTGACCTCCAGCAGCCGTGATCTTTTACGATTAATAGCACTGTTGGTCTAAATCCGGAGGAAAAGAACATGTTGGAACAAAGCAACGGATAGTTAGTTGTACCTTTCACTTACATTAACAGTCGGACTACTGAAAGAAGAGGAACACAGAAGGCAAATCACTCTAACAGGACCGAACTGGAGTAATCTAGGCTGTCAACGTCTGTACACAAAACGCAACATAAAAGAACCAGTTCCATGAGCATCGTGAAAGCATCTGGAAAGTCATGGAGGCATCTTTAGTAGATACACAAATATTTAGAATCTAATTTTAAATACCTGTGTGTAGATGGAAACTTCATTTGAAAAATTCCACTGCTGCACAGTGCGTTACCCCAGTCTAAACTTTCCCTGGTGGTCTAGTGGTTAGGATTCGGTGCTCTCACTGCCGCGGCCCGGGTTCGACTCCCGCTCAGGGATACCAGTCGGATACCAGGCTTCTCTTTCCCTGTCTGTGTGTCTTAGTGGGTACATGGAGAGCAAGCTGGGGCATGCGAAAAGACACATTCCTAGTGCAAGAAATTGTATAGGGCTAATAAAGTGATCTTATCTTATATCTGATCTTAAACGTGTTTCTAGCTGCATAAACAAGCGAGTTATGTTGTGCGAAAGTTTCAGTGAGATCGTATTTTTTCAGCCTGCAGTTATACAGGCTGCACAGCTGGGTAAGCACAGGCCACATCTGAAAGAGTAAACAGGGAAAGGCTGGCTTTCCATCTCTGTCAGAGACAAAAGTTCACGACTGTACTGCTAAGAACAGCAAAAGAGCCTGGCTGAGCAGATGAAGCCAACCTACAGCACCATTATGAGAAACACCTCATCCCTCGGGGTCACAACACTCTGGACACCAGTTCACCACAGGGCACCGAACACCTTTGATCGAACCTCCACCTTGATTTATTACGACAGTTGCAAGTGTAAAAAGACGTCTTCCTTCCCCGACACAACATCTGTAATTCTTTTTGTGTGGGAAAAGTCACAAGGAATGACTAGAAGTACCGTTAAATTGCTTCCAGATGAAATAAAAAGAAAATTACCTTGCTGTTTTCCCTTTTCAGCTGCTTCAGCTCCTTTGTCATGTGTATCTAAAAAATACAAGATTTATTGTCTTGCAGGCATGAACCAGAGAGATTAACTGTAATGTACTGTACACATGACTGGACAGTTTTTGTATCTCTATGAGCTTCTGCACTCTGAGAGGTGAGAGGTGCCGATTACAGGAGTACGGTATAAGGTGCTATTTAATTGGGCTGTGATTAAACAGTTGCTGTTCACATTGTTTCACATAGGTTTTGTCCAAACTCTAATTGCTTACACTTATATAGCACTTTTCTGGACATTCCACTTAAAGTGCTTTACAGGTAACGGGGATCCCCTCCACCACCGCCAATGTGCAGCCCCACCTGGATGTGCATGGGCTCCAGATTAATTATTTTACGGACCAGGACCTGAAGCATTAAGACTTCAGTGAAGACATCTCATGCAATTGCACTCACAACTGATACCAGGGCACAGGATACAAGCAAGCAACTCTACATAAAACACACAACACTTGGAAATCTCAGACTAGTTACTGAATTTCAACTGCTCTATGAGGACTCACCGTGTCGGTAAGTTGATCCACAAACTTCGTAGAAAGGGTTTCTATTGCTCGTTTGGCCACATCCCTTCCCCCAGTCTCCCTGAAGCAGAACAAGAGCAGATCAGGCCTATGGCTTACGCGACAAACAGCAGGTTTATGAGCAGGGGCTCCAGATCAATTATTGTACGGACTGGGACCCGAAGCATTATGACATCTCATGCAATTGCAATCACCACTGATACCACAGCAGAGGATGCAAGCAAACCCAGCGGCCGTCCGGCAATATGTCAGAGCAGAGCAGGAGACGTGACACGTCACAGGCAGGCTCAAGGTACCCCTGTTACAGCCACAGATGGAAGCAGCTGAAAACAAATACACTCACTTGTACTCTGACACAAAATCCTGAAACGCAGCCAGCACCACGTCCAGTTCGGTCAGGTCCTTCGGGGGTTTTTTGGATTGGGGGGGCCCGTCGCTGCCTAAAAAACAGCAGCTGAATTAGTCCCACTCTATCCTGGGGCCCCATCATCTCGCGCGAACGCAGCACCAGCACGTCCAAGAGGCACTCCCCCGACTCCCCGGCACCTGGACAACTCCCCAGTTCAGCTCTGGTGCAGCCATTTCGCTACCAGGAAAGCTTCAGGGGGTTCATTTCTATTTCAACTGCATGCATCGCGATTCTCCCACCCTTCCTGAAAACCCCCTGAACGGACTTGGTAGCTAGTAGCGCACTGATCCAGGGATGCCCACCCTGCTGTTCTCAACGAGTTACCGGCTTCAACAACATGGCTGGGCGGGGGGCTACATACTCCCACAAACCTTTGTGTAAAGAAGTGTCTCCTGTTCTCGGTTATAAATGCACTTCCACTGAACTAGTGCAGCCCCCCTCTTTCTCCGGCTCTCCGTGGACCTGAAGCCCCCCCAGCACATTCACTTGCTTTAACAGCCCGCTACAGTCCGGCCTCGTTACCTGAGGAGGAGGAGGACTTCCGTTTCTGCGCACCGTCAGACGGCCACGATCTTCTGCTGCCACTTGGTTTGTTCTCCTGCGCGAAGGCAGACAAAGTTACAGGGCAGCTACAGCTACACCAGCTACAGGGCCGAGGCTCCGGCGCAGAAACGCTACTCAATCTACTCAAGCAGCACCTGAATGTGCGGACTGCGATGCCCACCCTCTTCCATTTCACACTCAAAGCGAAGTCAGCGCCCAGGCTGCACGCTGCGGAGGTTTAGCAACCTGCCAATTACCACTGCGTGTGACACACAGGGGAACGCCTGGTATACGACTCCCCAGCCAGGCACGACCTGCTCAGCGCTGGGGCTCCCACTGCCTGCACATCGAGCCCTCCCCACTCCTGCGGAGGTCTCGGCTACGCATGTGAACCAAAAAGACCATTCGAGTCAGGAGTCACTGTTCCCGGTTCTTGGCAGACTTTCTTGTAATGACTTAATACCCGTAAAAAATACATGTAAATATAAATCTCCCCTTTTAGAGTAGGTGAAAGCCTTTAAAAGCCTTTCACTCACAGTATTTTTCCCCAATTAAGGCTTAAGGGATGTAACGGAGCTTGAGTGCAAAGGAAACCAGCAGGCGCAGGGTGTCCGGAGGGACATGTCCTTGGCCGAGAAGGTGTACAACACCAGTGGTGTGCATCAAAACCTGCAAACAGCAGAATTTCTGAACCGGCTCGGGCGTGTTAAGGTGAGGGATCTGCGTACGCAGTCGGAGTCTTCATCATTTGTGTCGTCCTCTGAAGACGGGGACAGGCGCCTTCTCTGCCGCCCCCGGCCCGTGCCCTTCCTCGCTGCAGGAGACTGGCCGCCCACAGCCCCCTCCTCCTCGCTCACGGAAGCCTGCGAAGGGCCAGACTGGTCCAGGGTTCGACTGGTTGCTCTGGACCGGCTGGCCTCTGAAATCCCTCCAGTGCGACTTCTGGACTCGGCAGCGACGCTGGATTTAGTTCTTGCCGAGACCTGGGAATCACAGGTTTGTTAAAAGCAGAAGGCACCGAATTTCTGTAGGGGCACCACAAGACAGACAGGAATAGATATAAGTTACAGTAGATTAAACAGAATATTTAGTCATTTATTTATTATATAGGCCGGGGGAAGGGGCATGTATGTATGTGTGTAGGAGTTTTCAGAACCAAAGAAACGGACTGCTACAGCCCTCATCCTGTCAGGCCTTCCTCTGCAGACTCTCGGCTCCCACATCACAGTTTGAGCACCAGAGCCCTGCTTTCCCGACAGGCCACAGGGGGCGCTGTTGTGCAGCAAGAGGAGGATACCACACCCACACTCGAACTGCCCAGCCCGGGACAGCTCACACAACTGGAGGTCCGGTTCCGATTGGAACGAGCGATCCCTGTCTGGGGGGGGACCCACCTCTTACACCACTGGAGTACAGAGCCTACCTGGCAGCTCTCTTTATACACCAGCTGCCCCTTTGGAGAAGAATGTAAACCAAGGGACGTTGTGTTATACTTGTTGAAAGGACTAGCATGCTCTCATGTAAAATATGGTGGACAAATGTGGTCACCGTGTGAGATACAGAGGAATCAGACCAGAGAAGAAAAATCGTTTTTTAATTCACGCCCAGGGAAGGATCAGGTTTTGGAAAAGTGCGAATATGGTGAATTAACTTGCCATTATTGTGTGCGTGGTCAATTACAATTAATCGGGCAACGTTCCACATTGATACAAGAGTGAAAAGGCACAAAACTCCTATTTCAGGCAGGCATAAGGCAAATGTGGTCACCGTGTGAGATACAGAGGAATCAGACCAGAGAAGAGCAACGAGGGCATAAATGAAAGTCCTACACGGAAAAAGCTCGATCTTTCAAGGCTTCGTCTTCTCTGATCGAGAGGGCACCTGCTGCAAAGTATTTAAAATCCTCAAAGCCACTAACCCAGAGGACTTCAGAACGCACAAACATAAACCCAAGGACGGGAACAGCAGTAACTTCACAGCAGTTATACGAGCTCTTCGTGGAAATCAAAGCACGTCATACTGTCACGCAGGTGGGACCGAATGCGGCAGCAAAGCACGCTGGGCCCAGCGAAAGCAAGAGTGCACCTGCGCTGCAAGGGGGAGAGTCTCTGCGGGGTACCTCCGGGCTCTGCGGGGCAGATGGCTCCTCGGCAGCCCCAGGGGGTCTCCTCTGCCGCCGCCCTGGTTTGGCTCGCGCCTGCTCCTGCCCCCTGCCCCCTGACCCCTGGCGTCGCCGACGACCGCCTGCTGAGCAGCACTCGTGCTTCCGAGCCATCAGCCCCAGGGGCCTGGGGGGGGCAGCCACGCACACAATTACCACCCCCACCCAAGCACCGGCACAGGGCAGCTCGCACACCAACACTAGTGTACACCAGTCCCTGGTCTTCATCCGAATATACCAGTACAGAAAACCACTAAGAAAAAAAAATAGAGTGCAAGAACAGGAAGTCTGAAAGAACGCCCTCTGGAACAAGCTACCCAGCCGCGTGGTTGTGGCCGATGCTCTGGTTTCTGTCGAGAAACACGTCACTAATCACCAGAAGGGTGAGAGTAAAAGCAATACCCAGCTCTCTGAAGCGTCACTCTCGACAGGAGGCGATCTGCCCTTCTGCTCTGCCGAGCCACCTTCCTCGCTGCTGGAGTCTTCCTCCTCCGGGATCTGCTTTGCCGCTGGTGGATGTGACCTAGGAAAGACAGAATGAACGCCACAGAGAGCACGGCTTTGCAAGTCGGTTTTGCCAGTCCCCAACTCGAATGCTCCAGTATCTGCCGACATGCACATTACTATTAATCTGGCTGATGCTTTTATCCATAGTGACTCATGTTTGTACAGTACCTATTTATAATGTAGTGTATTTCACAGGAATACTGTAATTGAAAAAACCTTGCAATACATGTGTGCCTGTTCTGATTTTGTGACACAAAATTGAACACCATCCTGAATAAATGTGAGAACATATTCACACCATTGTTAGCTCCATCACTTCTGACACACTGCACTGATTTTAGAATTAAACTGGAGACACAACCTGAAGTTGGTGATTTGAGAACAATCTAGTGCACATCCAGGAAAATTCAGCTAAGTAAGGGGTCACTCAAACTCTCTGAAAAGCATGTTGTCAGGATGTGAAATGGTCCCCAAAATGCAGAAGACCAGGTTCAGGCCCCAGCTTGCAGAAGTGGAATGTGCAGATTACAGGGGGAAACTATCCATCTGTCCTCCCTGTGCCCAGAGCATGCACAAACATCTCGCAAAAAAGCAGAGCTCTTTTATAAGGATGTAATAACCAACTCCGTATTGTCTGACACCCAGATAAAGATGCCCAAGGCTCTCCCAGCCCTGCCTAGCCATCCTTTGCTAATGACAACAGTCTATCGCTTTCCACCAGGACCCTGCTGTTAGTTCTTGAATGGGCACCACACGTTAGCAGCGGACTCACCGCTGGCTGGACGTCCGGCTCTTCGGAGGCCCGGCCCCGGTGCTGGCGGCGGGGCGCGGTCCTGTCCTGGCGCCCGCCCCGCGCTTCTTCAGAGACCCCGCGAGTCTCTTCACAGGCGCCTTAGTCTTCGCCAGGCCCTTGTGGCCTCTCCCCCCCTTCCTCAGCTCCTCCTCGAGCGCGGTGCTGTGGAGGGGAGCGCCTGCACGAGACACGTCCCCAGTCACCCGGAGGCTGACCGCGCTGCTGACGAGCCGACTGAGGGGCCCGAGGCCCCGGGGGCCCCGAGCTGCTGCTCACTGCTGGCTTAATGGGACCAGAAGGGCTTCTCCCAGCAGCTGTGTGCACACAAACCGGCCCTCCCAGACCAGGAGAGCCCACACCTGGCCTGGGAGGAGGTGTTAAGGGCGGCATTGTGAAAATATTTTACACTTAAATAAGTATTTCATTTTAAAGAAAGTAACCAGACATGTTATTCCAGAACTAAACATCACACACATTTTCTTCCATTCCTTCCATTATGGAGGCTTATTTCTTTGGAGGTGCACCAGTCCGACAGAAGCACACCCTGGACAGGACACCAGTCCGTCACAGGACACAAGACAGACGCACACCC